TTTAGTAGTATAATGAGAGCCTTTTGATAAAGATTCTATAGTTCCTATGCAACCATGTGGTTTATATAAAGCCTGTAAATGTATATTTTTAATTAAACAATGGAAACATTATCTGAAGGTGAAATTACCTCCAATTTCATTATCTACATTACCTGCTTCTCATTACCTTCCTTCTCATGAAACAGTCACTGAGTCGTTTCCTCAAGAATTTGCTCTGGGAAATTGGGGATCATTCTGACAGGGTTCAGCACTTAAGAATTGAAGAGCCTAACTTTGTTCATTCTAAGGCCCAAAGTATGTGCGGCTTCTCCTGGATTAATGGGGGATGGCAGGTCCACCGATGAAGGTCAAGATGGCTGGAGGTAGGTGCGGTTCAGAGTGGCGTGAGAGGCAATCATCACAGGTGCTGGCAGGTGGGATTATATTTAATGCTGGATAATAAAGTTAGGTGATCAAGTGGAAATATCACAGATAACAGCACTTGAGGAAGGACAGAAGAGCAATTGGGGAAAGTTTAACTTGATTGACTGATTAAAAAAAATTAGGATGCGAATAACCACAAAATACTGCAAGGCTACTATTATGCCTAAATTAAATGTTGGGGTGAAGACATAATTGAGGAAGAAAAACAAATCCTTCGTAAGCATTGTAATAGGAAGCAACTTTAGAATATTTAAAAAATACTATAAGAAGATAACTATTTTATCAAATTGTGTGTCAAATAGAAGACTAAGAAATAATGTATATATAATTATTACTAATTATTTTGTTTTCTCAATAATACTGATTTTGTCACATAAAATATACAAGAAAATGTAAAGCTTGGAGCATTATACCTTTTTATGTAAAGTAGTAAACAAAATGGAAAAACAGTTCTATCCATACCTGTCCATTCTCTCACTTTGTAGTAAAAGTTGGAAATATTTACATAACAAGCCATGAAATAGAGACTGGGTGTAGTAGCACACATCTATAATCCCACTTAGGAGACTGAGGCAAGAGGATCACAAGCTCAAGGTCAGCCTTGGCAACTTAGTGAGTTCCTCTCAAAATGAAAACTACTTTTTTTTTCTCATTGAGTTTATTGGTACATTTTAAGTATACAGTACAGTTAGACATTCATCATTGGGATCTTGTGCCTTTACATGACAGGTCTTGGTTCTCATTTTTTTCCCCCTTACCCCTGCACTCCCTTAACCCCCTCCTCCTTTCCCTATTTACAGATATTTTATTTCCATTTTTTTCATTGAAAACTATTTTTTTAAAAGGACTATGGATGTAGCTCAGTAGTAACATGTTTGCATACTATGTAACATGTCATAAGATAGAGAAAGATAAATGTATAGTGACAAGAGAGTTATCTAAACACTATTATTAAGTCTCCAGCCCAGGAGGTCTGGGTGACTTGATGTAGGACACTCAGAGGGTTAACTGCTGGTGTTAAGATTCTGATTATCAACAGCTGTCAATCATTTGGATTCACAATTTTAGGTCAGAAAGGCTTAGAGATTTCACGGTGAAGATTCACGGTGAAGAATGAATCAGGTAATTTTCCTCAGAGCATAGAGAAACAGGTGGGAATCTCCTAGCTTGTTTTCTGGCCAAATCAAATCTGGTTCCCAGATTCACAGCTTTTTTATTTTTTTATCCTGGAAGCCTAAAGTCACTGCAATAATCGATAAAACAGGCTTAGGTGGATACTTTAAGCAAAAGGTTCCAAGTTCTTCAGTGATTAATTGCTGTGCCTAATGTCTTCAGCATAGTTTCTTAACTATTTGTGATTATATATATGAATATATAAATGTAGATATATTCGCTAATGTCAAATGCAGATGGTGGTTTTGAAAAAATGGATTTTATTTTGTAGATCAATATAAATTAGTATATTTATGTATGTCTTAGAAGCGTCAAAGTTTAATTTTATTTACTTCATTAGATATTTAATGTAATCCTTGTAATTTGATCATTTCAGAAAAAGTACTAGGCAAGACCCTCTCACCCTAAGTTTTCTTCCACTCATTGTATAATTGGAATTCACAGTTCATTTGTTTTTTCATATACAGAAAGTACTGACTTACGATGGTTCTATTTACATTTTATATTTTAATTTTATGATGAAGCAAAAGCCGTATGCATTCAGTAGAAGCTATACTTCAGATTTTGAGTTCTGATCTTTTCCTGACCAGCAATGTGCAGTACAATACATTCTCCTGATGTTGGACATCAGCAGCCAGATGCAGCCACCTGTCAGCCACATGATCACAGAGGCAGATGACCTATCCTCCACAGTGCACTGTGTTGCTAAGATATAATGTTCAGTAGCTTTTGGGTATTTCATGCATCTTATACTTGAGATGTTTTCCACTGATGAGGGATATTTCCAGACATAACCCCTTCCCAAGTTGTGAGTGTCTGTTCTTGCTTACCAAGAACCATTGTTCCAGGTTCTGGAAAATTGAGATGGAGATAACAGATCAAGTCTTCATGGAGCTCACATTCTAGTGGGAGAGAAACAATCAGAAAACAAATAAACAAATAAATGTATGAAGTCAAGTAGTAATCAATGCTAAGAAGAAAAATCAAGGCATAGCCAGTGATGTGGTTGGCAGTGATGTTCTTTGCTATTTTACTCTGGTCAGCCCTTTCTACAGTGACCTTTTTTTTTAAAGACCCAAATAAAAAGAAGAAGTACATCTACCTCAGATTGCAGAAATATATTTCCTTATAATGTTACTGTTCATGTGCTTTACCTTGTAATATCGTACTTGGGCCCTGTCTCTAATATTCTTTAATATATTCTCATGGATTTATTTTTGTGTATGGTTGTTGTAATTGCTTTGGGAATTTAAATAAATGTCTTTATTTGGTAATATTATATAGATAATAATTTTTTAGATGACTTCAGCTTGCAAATTTCTCACTATTCTTAACAATGAAATGTATTCACCCTTGGTATGACATTTGCCATTTCATTTTCTGGGAGAATGGCTCCCAACAAAAGAAGAAGAGCACAACTACAGAGGATGTGTAGAAGGGGAAAGCTCATATTCTCGCATCATAAAACTTTTAACTTATTTGAAAATCTGATTTTAGCACAAAGAAAGATGTTGATTTTTGTTTGCAGAAGGGGGAGATGAATTTGAAAGGCTGAATATCAGCATTTCACCTCCCCTGACATTGTCATTCTTTTATTTTTTATTAATAAAAATATCCTAAGACAATGAAGAATCCCTTGAAAAACTTTCTACTTTTGGAACTATTACTATATTGTTGCAATTGTGTAAGTTCTTTAAAAGAAAGTTGCTCTGTGTTGAATAATTGGAGGAAATCAATATACTTTCAGGTATATCCATAAGATAATGTAATCCACCTTTTCAGAGAGCCTTTCAATGGCCTGCTATGCCTGAGAGTTTTTTCTAGAGGCCTTTCGTTGGGACTTCTTAAACATTTGGGAAAAATAGTTCAACACATGTTCAGCGGGAAGATAAAAGCAGAAAAAATATATTATAATCCTGGTGTACAAAATATACAAAATGCTCAAGACAGGAAGTGCCTTGTAAACAAGAGATAAGATCTCTTTTTTTCTTTAACCTAAGTAGTGTTCATTCTTCTGCACATGTGGTGATGTGCAAATTTCAACAAATTATACTTATAGTAACGTTGAAAAATTTTCACACTTTCATTATCAGAATATTTAAAATGTACATCTGCTAGACACTATATTCTGCCCCATTGCATATAATCAATAAAATTAAAAGTGAATTTCTAATGAAAATAGAGTCCCAGCACATAAGTTGAACTTAGTACCCCTGATATTTAAGACAGGCACTTAATCAAATGGATTACTATCTCTGGGTAGAGCCTATGGGAATTAACAGGTGTTAAATTTGTCAGAAGGACTCCCCTATTGTTCTTAATAGAAAACTGGGACAGATGGGGTTTTGCACATGGAAAATAAACATAAATCAAGTATAAGAGATACTGAGTGGAGTCAGAGAAATAGTCTTTAGTTTTCTGTGCATGCACAATTCTGTGCCAATTGAGCTGTCTGATGTGATTGCTATTTCATTTCAAAATAATAATCCAACAGTTTTAACATTTTAGCTTTAACCTTTTCCATAACCAGGGGAACTATTTAAATGCCTTTGATGTGATAGTAGAATGATTCTGTCTTTTGAGAATGACAATCAGTGCCTTTGTGATTTCATAGTATAAACTATTTGAAAAATAGAAGTGAGGAGGTGAGTAGCCTGTGATGATATTGAATCGTTTGGGTATATTTCTGAACAGCTAGAAACAGACAGGAAATACAAAGTCAGGCTTGAAAGAGTTCTTTTTACCCCGGGGATTTTTAAGAGTTTCTTGGTGCATATGGATTTTAGAAAAATTTTTATTTGGATTTGATTTATGCTTTTGACCTTGACAGTACAGAATGAAGTATAGTTTTGCACGGTTTCTATAGCAGAGTTGGTGTATTAAATGTTCATGTCCAAACATTGTTCACAGATACCAAATTTTATGAGTTATTTGTAGGCAACCGATCCGATAAAGCCTCTCAAATCTATTGTTATTCCATAAAGCCACAATATCTGGCCTGAAATCACAGCATAGATTTATTTTGTTAATGCAATGGTGGGAAGCAAAACAGGTTGGTTTCAGCCCCATTGTTTCAAAGGCTTACTTCAAAATTTTCCTGTATTATTTTACTAGGAGAACTGCAAGAAGCATTGTCTTTTCATCACACAAAAGGGCTACCATTTGAGAATGCTATCTTTCACGAGTTGTACATGCAAAAGAACAGAAAGAAATAAAGAAGAAAGGAAAGAAAGAAAGAAAGAAAGAAAGAAAGAAAGAAAGAAAGAAAGAAAGAAAGAAAGAAAGTAAAAAAGGAAGGAAGGAAGGAAGAAAAATATGAACCAAGGGATGGGAATTTATCTCAGTGGTTCTGCCACCTGCCTCGCAAGCTCAAGGACCCAAGTTCAATCCCTGGTACACTCCCCACAAAAAAGAGAAAATATGAACCAAGTGATTTGTGTAAGCAGAAATTTGAACTGTTGTAGGGTAGTCATGAAAAATTAGAGAAAGCATTGTTTTCTATATTTATTTGATGATATAAAAATTTAAAAACACCTTTATTGAAAATTTTAGCTATTGCTATAAGTGGAAAAGTCTTTGAACTCATTTGTTTTATTTTTATTTATACTGCTAATTATTACTCTTCTGCCTTTGGTTTCTGCTTTTTCATCATTCTCACATGTATCCAGCTGTGAGTGATTGATTGATTGCCTGATTGTTTCCTGAGAGGGACTTGCTTTGATCTGACTATGTAGCCCAGGTTGGCCTGGAAGTTGTGGCAAACCTCCTACCTCAATCTTTCAAGTGCAGAACTCCAGGTGTGTGCCACCATGTCCACCAAACGCTTTTTTTTAAAAGCTTCATTTGATTGGCAACTAGTAATTACATATACGTGGCATTAGAGGGTGTGTGTGTGTGTGTGTGTGCACGTGTTCTATCCATCATTTCAAATATTTATCTTTTCTTTGTGGTAAAAATATTTAAAAGCTTCTCTTTAGCTATTTTGACTGCTTTTTAGGAAAGGTACTGCCACGGTCTGCCTTAGGAGAAACACATAAATCAGCAGCAGCCCTCAAATTGGTAGGAAATATTTGTCTATGATGGGGTTGGCTTGCACCTCTGCCTCTCATTTGTAACAGCCTGAGGTTCCCCCAGGAAAGAGAGCACCTTTAACAAGTGAGCCATGGGTTGAATTCAAATTTAAGACTTCCATCTTTCTAAAGTCTTGTTCAGTTTATTAAGTGTCTTGCCTCCTGCTGTATCAGATATAGATGAAGAGATCATAGGTTTCCTGGGGGTTGGAGACCCAGGTTAAACAGACATCAGAAAGAAATTCTCAAATGGATTTTCAATAAATGCATTGGCAGTCTCAGAAATCTGAACTTTAGCAAATGCGGAATTCTTTTCAATTAATGTCAAAACACCAGCTTGCTTGCAGGTCTTGTAGAATATTCTTTGGTTTTCAGCATGGCGCTGTTGGAGGTGAGGTTTAATTGTAGCCAGTTTTCTTGAGTATCTGCCGAATACTTTCAGAAATATCTTTATCTCTTTCCTTGCCTGAGGTTATTCTAGTATGAAACGTGCTTCTGATTTGTAGTATCTTACAATGACATCCAAAGTTGAATCAGTGATTTGGGAAATTTTTCCTGAGGAAAGTAGAGGTTTTCATTCATGTAGCAGGGAGTTGGATGGCATAATGTACACATGTATTCTTTGTGAGGAAAATGGCTGGAAATTGCTTTCTTCTGATTGTGTTTGATTGTTTCTTACTAGAGTCACATAATTTAAAAAAGGATATAGTCTTCTCTGCATAAATTTCAGAGGGGGAGAAAGGTGGAAAAGTGCTATCTTTTATTGTTTTTCCTTCAGTGTTTTCAATAACTACATGGTCTCAGCTTTAGGAGTTCTCAGAGCTTGGGTGTATCTGGTATATAGAATATGAATAGTGACATTGAATGATTGAAAATAGAAAAGTAAAGAAACAAATGAAAGAAACTTCATAGTATTGTGGTTTACATGATTTGTATAATGACAATGAATCCTGAATTCGAGCTTTAGGGAATGACTGGATTTCTGAGGTGAAGAACAAATAATACAATCAATAGAAGACACAACAAAGTACATACAAGGAATATTTTTGGACATACCTGTCTATTCAACCACATATTCAAAAATGTAAGTGATATAGTAATCCTGGGAGGTGATTTATTTTTTTGTGGAAGATAATTTTAAATGGGCAAGTAATTCCTGTGCTTTACAGGTCAGTTTCAATTTGGACAAGGTAATGACATTGAAGTTTATATCTCCACATTTATTAGAGTGTATTTGATGACTTGGGAAAGTGGGAAGGGTGGGGGAAAGGTAATAAGGGAAAAGAAAAAATATGAGAAAATGAAAAAATGGAAATAAAGTGTTTGCAAATGGGGAGGGGAGAAGGGTGGAGGAGGGCCGGGGTAAGGGGAAAAAATGAGAACCAAGACCTGTCCATGTAAAGGTACACAATCCCAACAGTGAATGTAACTGTACTGTATACCTAAAATGTACCAATAAACTCAATTAAAAAAAGAAAAAAAGTGACGAAAGAAGGAAGAAAGAAATAAAAGAAGAGGGGAAATTAATAATAATAAAAGAATGGACCTCTTTTTTAGAATAGGCACTTGTCCATGAAAATGCACCAGTGAGATCACCTGCTGTGGAGACATAATAAACAGATAGTTCCAGCTGATCACTTCTTGATCCAGCAATGAATTTACGTCAAGGCCATCTTTCCTCCTGGTTACTTGAAACTCCCTACCAAGTTTGGCACAAATACTAAGCTTCGTTCTTGAAAGATACAGGGCTCATTCTAAGTGTTCTTTGGCTAGAAGAACCTCCATCAAGGTTTATGAACTCCTCTGTAGCTGATCTGAAGTCCATTACTGTTATTACTCAGTGTCCTTCTTTGTCTCTTTCCTTATGGGTATCCAATTTGAGTTATAATCCGAAGGCTCTTCTTGTAATCTCTTGCTTCCATTAGTCGCTTCCCTGCAATGAAAAAAAAAAAAAAATCTCCAGCACTCTCAACTTGAAGAAGGCGAAGTTTATTTTGGCCTACAGTTTGAGAGGGATTGGCTGGCTTCAAGGCAGAAAGGCCATCCTAGAAGGGCACGATGCAGGAAAAGTGCTCACTACATTGCACCCCAGAAGCTGAGGGAGGAGGAGCGGGGTGCGAGAATATATGCTTCCAGGCCATGTCGACCAGTGACTCATCCCTGCTAATCAGGTTTTAGTTCTGAACACATGGGTCTTTGCTGGAGATATTTAGATCTAAACTATAACACATATCTAAAACCACTTTGATGTCTGCTTTCAGCTAGCCCAGTTAGTGCAAATGGTATTAAGAGTGAGCTGGGATTTTAAGAGAAATATTTTGATATGGAATCAGCACACTCACTCATGAACTGCTGAACAACACTCTGTGCTGATGGTAGAATGGCCTGGCGACTATTGGCACTTGGTCACAGCACAATGGCAATTGGCATTTGGAAGGCACGGGGTCGTGGTAGTGTTTACAAATACAGCAGAGGCAGCTGATTATGGGTAACTTGTACTAATATGGTCTTCAGAAGGTTATTAAAGATTTGAACATGATTAACAAGTGTAAAAGCAGGAAAACCTCTGTGATAGCTTACAAATTAGTCATTTCTCCTTTAGAGAAAGAGCAAACTCATTTAAATAGCAGACTGAAGACTACTGAGAAAGTCATAGTGCTTCTAGCATTTGAAGGCTCATCCAAAGCAGATTCATTATACTAAAGCCAAGGACATGATTAGAAAAATATGAAACTCTAAAATAGGGGGATATCTGGACAGACGCCTTTGAAAATGCTGGCTCTGTTGACACTGTAACCTTGGATTGTGTAGATTTGCCCAACTTTCCCTGCTGAGACCTACTAGAAGTTTTGAGAGAGGAATCTGGCAGTAGATGTTTGTCTTTAAAAATACCCTTGCCTCCTTTCATGGGTGCCTGTACTAACCATGCTTCTAGGTTCTGCATTAGGAAAAACAAGAAAACCCGAAAAGCCCTAAAGGACATTGCATTTACCAAAGTTATTAATGATTTAGTGGCAGTAGGGGCAGCAGCATCACTAAGAAGTGCAAATTGTGGTTTTCATTTTCAGACCACAACTGGACGAAGCAATGATCATAGAGTAAGGTGAATGTCATCCTTCATCGTGACAGAACTATGACTGCTGTAAAAGAAAGCAAATGATGACTCTACTGTGATAAGAACTACTTGGTAAGTTGAGGTTATTAGGAAATGTGGTACAGATGCCATATTGGAAGATTCTCCAAGTATAAGAATTCCTGGCTTACAACCTGACACTGATACACCTTGATTCTTTTCCCTAATGGTTCATCTCTGAACATTGCAGTCATTGAAGGTTTCCTGGACACCCTCTTGACTAAGGATGATTCGAATATAGCATATAAAAATTATGAGAAAATGTAAAAATGGAATTAAGGTCTTTGTAGGTGGGGAGGAGAAGAGGCAGTGAAGAGAGGGTAGGGACAAGGTGAAAAATGAGAACCAAGACCTGTCATGTAAAGGTACAAGATCCCAGTAATGAATGTAACTATACTGTCTACCTAGAATGTGCCAATAAATTCAATTAAAAAAATAAAAATGAAATGGAGGCAAAATCCTTAAATATCTGAATAAATGAAGTAAGGTTCTGGTTGAAACTGCCCACTGTAAAAAAGGAGGCTACTGAAGGACTATAGTCTACTGTGTTCTCATAACTCCAAAAATGTCTTATACCTATACTAGCTTTTATAATTTCTCTGTTCTTTCCAACTAAAAAAAATGTTATGACATTTATATTATATTAGATATAAGGGCCATTGATAGAATTTTACTTTTCTGCTTCCCTCATGGCCCTGGTATTCTAATACTATTTTATCTTCTATCCCTGAGACCACTGCTTAATTTACAGTGTGGATCCATGTGCAGCATCCTTTAGTATAACCCTTTTTTCCAGATTCACTGTATCTATTTGCATTCACTTGGGAAAATGAAGAGTACATATAGATAATTATGACCAAGGGTTTACAAAAGCATCTTTTTACTACCTACAAATGTTCAACTATATCTGAATCATTAGAGACTTCCAATTTCCCAAGGATGCCACACTTACGGGATATGTGAATGAACTTTTGTTTGTTCTCCAGATTGAAAATCTTTCAGAATTGATTTTTTCCACTTGCTGATAGTGTTAGTGTGCAGGGACACAAAGTCTCTAAGGATAAATTCCAATTTTATCAGACCTAAGTGTATTTTCTTGGCCATTACATCAAACAAAAATTAAGAATCTCTTTCTCTACAAAGATTGTAAGCTATTTGTGACTTCTGTGGCCAATTACCAAAAGACAGCTGAGAGGGTTTCTTATTCCCACAGGATAGACTTTGGAATTCTATCTCTTCTGGGCCAACTTTCCACTTGTATAAGCAAATAAAAGCTGACTCCTCTGATCCCTTGCATTTCAGATTCATTACCAAACATCTTTTACAATCTAAAAGACTTTCCAATGATCATATATATTTGTATTTTATGTTAAAGCAAATTTTGTGCATCTATCCTGACATGAAATGGGCATGAGAGACACACTGCTTATTGTTTCTGCACAGTGATTTCCTGACAAAAGTCTGCTAGTAGTTCAAGGTCAGCTGAGCCTCCTGTTGACTTAGTTTCAGAATTTCCATTTAACTCTAATGGCCTGCCACATTTATTATTCAGACTTTCTTTTGGATTGAAAACAAATGGCATTTTTCTGTTACTGTACTGACTTCATTTTCAATCCTTTACTCCTCAATTCTCAATCTCTTACTCTCAATGGATATGCTTATGATCCTGATCATGGGTGTGTATCAATTCATTATGCCTCAGCTCATCAAATTATACACCATAAACATGCATAATTTTGAAGATCAATTATACCTCACTAAAATTGTAAGAAGAAATCCTTTACCTATTACTCTCAATGGTTTTATCCATTTCTAGAAGACCCTAAAATTTGCTGCTCTTCATTTTTTCTACAGGAGAGAGAACCTCATGAATGTTTTACATATGCTGGAGATTTTTCCTTGCTTTTCCCTGACTTCTTTAGAACAAATAAACTGTGAATATGTGTATAAGTCCTGTTTGAGAACTGAAGAAGGGAGCTATAAAATTGGATATTTAACCAGAATGCAGTAGGAATCATTGAAACCCAACTGTATCTAATATGTTAAAACTGGACAAGTCGCCAATATTGTAGTGCTTACTAAGCCCTGCCAGTTTGCTAGAGAAACGAGAGAAAGTACCTATATAGAAATGCTTTCGTAGTGCTGAGAGGTTTGGGCAGGCTTTGGAAGAAGCACCATTTTTTAATTGCAACTAGTATACTCCAATTAGACTAGGCAACTATAAAAGCAATTTCAATAAGCAAAGGTTCACATATTAATAGATTAATTTACTAAACATATCCAGATTGTCCAGCAAGCCCAAAATTTAAAGCCAAAACTAAGTCCTGATTATTGGCATCAGGTCTTGAGTCAGTTCCAAATTCAAGCACCTGATTCTGAAATAATATATTGGAGAAGATTAGATTGTTTGCTTCACCCATATGGTACCTGCTAGTAGCAAGATGGCATTTTGTGCTGTGTGAGATGCCAACATAGATTATCTCAAAAAGCAAGCTACAACCGTAGGGGACTTTTTTTTTTCTTTTTATTGAGTTTATTGGTACATTCTAGGTATATAGTACAGTTACATTCATTACTGGGATCTTGTACCTTTACATGACAGGTCTTGGTTCTCATTTTTTCTCCTTGTCCCTGCCCTCCCTTTACCTCTCCTCCCCTCCCGGTTTAGAAACACTTTATTTCCATTTTTTTCATTTTCTCATATATTTTTTCTTTTCCCTTATTCCTTTTCCCCTACCGTTCCCATTTTCCCTACACCTTTAGCCCTTTTATTACTATTTCACATTGTTAATTATCTCATTAGGATCTTGTATACTATTTATAGTTTTTCACACCAGAAAAACTATTCAGTATTTACACATGTGTGACTTATTTCACTTAGGAGTATATCCTCAAAATGTATCCTTTTTCCTATGAATGACTCTAATTTATCATTCTTTATGGCTGAGTAGTATTCCATTTTATAGAAAAACCACCTCTTCTTTGTCCAGAAAGGGATGTTTTTTAAAAAGGTCCTAAGACATAGTAATGACAAAAATGAGATTGAAGACATCTCTTTGCAGTGTGATCCAGCTGTCTAAGCACGTGTCCTGTGTAAACAGGAAAAGGTGGGGAGAGGACATGAATGAAACTTTTAGACTATTTAGAACATCTGAAAATGGAATCCACCCCGTTGTTTCCTTGTGTGATTCTGATTCCTTGGTATGGGGCTAGGGGTCTCATTCATATTAAGAAGGCGTTTTACCACTGAGCAACATTCCGAATTCATCAATATGTTTTTCACTGCAGAATGTTAACTGTTTTCTGTTTGGCTGGAACTGTTTCCTTTACATAAAGCAACTGTTTTGACAGGAGCAAAGCAACCTGAAGATTTATTTTCCCACTGCATAGTATTTCCTTATTTATCTTAGTTTTGGGTGCCCATACCACTGGAACAGGGTCTCGTTGAGGTCTTCTCTGTCAAGTAGAATCCTTAGGCCCCCAATCACTATTCTTCAGAGAAATCAGGACCAAGGATTGCCCATTAAAATGGAAGCTTAAAAACTCTCCAAGAAACTTTAATTTTTGTCAAAAGTTTTACTCTTAGCCCCAAAGCCAGTAGGTCTTTAGAAGAAAAAAATATAGACTATCCCTGTAAGAGGTGATCACTTGATAGTTATGCATGTGGGGATGTCAGCTCCTGTCATCTACACTGATGGTCCACTACAGCCAGATGTTTTAGAATTTTAAGGTCAAGTTAATTTTCAACAAGCCCATGTAGTTTTTCTCCAAGATAGGTCCCAGGAAATGCCACATGAGGCTATTGAAAATGTGGTTTGTGTGCTCGTGAATTCTGAATTACAAAAAGGTGTAGTGATACTCCTGGAAACAACTCTTTGGATTTGTGTCTCTTACTAAAAAGGATTCCACTTTTTTCACAGACTTCCATGCCAGTGTAAGATGTAACACTGAGAATCTCTTGGGATTCTCTGGAAGCAGATCCAAGATGCAATTAATTGTCACCAATTAATTGTCATGTTTATCATATTTTTATTTTCATAACCACTATTTTCTATGTTAGATTAAGGATTTTGAATGTAGAAGAGGTGAGATTCTTTAAGGTTCTCCCACTTATGGCACTTTGTGTTAATTTCGTGTCACAATAGACCGCAACTCTCTTGTTCTCCATATTTAGGGTGGGGATGAGGTCTGCTCTAGCTGACCTCACACCTAACTGGATCTTGTTTGGAAGGCTTTGCTGAACTTTCTGATAATTTTTATGATGACACTTGTTCCTATAGTCATCATTTGCTGTATTTTCTCTAGAGGCTGAAATGCTTTTATGCAGCCACTTAATCAACAAATGATTAAAATTCTACTACAATAACAAAAGTCACAAGATGCTCTGATTACTATCAACAATGAGGCTGAGGTGCTAGTGATGAGTGGCATGTGTAGATTAGTTCTGGAAGACACCAACACTGTACAATAAAGTTACACTGTATAGTTAAGTGATGTGACTTGTACAGAGAAGAAAAATTGCACTAGCTTGAATGCATGCAAATATTGCACGTAGACACTGGTATGACTTTGCCCCTACCGACTGTTCTTCCTCTCTTTTCTTGGCAGATCTGTCACACTGCTATTGACAAATCTAATCCACTAAACTGAGTCTCTTAAACCGCAAGAATAATTTTTCCCCTTCCAAGACTCATCTTTGATGAACTTTCCTAAAATTTAATAAAAATTAAGTGGTTGACTCTTTTTAAAGTTTTAAGATGTTTCTTTCTCAAAATAAAGCACTTACTTGCATGCTTGTGTGTGTGTGTGTGGGAGGGGGGTATCCCATCTGAAACTCTGCCTGAAATTCTTACTTGTTCTAGTCAACTTTTTTTTTTTTTTGTATCAGGAATCAAACTTGGGACCTTGTGCTTGTGAGGCAGGCAGTGGAACTACTGAGCTAAATCCCTGGCCTGGAATTCTTCCTTGTTTACCTCAGGACCCCTTGCCCACTGTGCTCCTATTCATTCTTCAGATCTCAGAACTTAGAAGT